TCAGGGACTAGCAGCATGGAACAGAGATGGGGAGCAGCCTCGGAGAGGAAAGCAAGCTCGAACAAGCGGTCCTCCAGGACGTCACTGCCAAGGGCAGGAGCACCCCCGACAGACGGAGGACAGGCAGGGTCAGAGACCAGAGCGGTGGCGTAGTCAAGGCGGTGGGTAGAGGCGAAGTCAGCGACAGCAGCGACAAGAGCGTCAAGGCACGAGACCGGAACAGACGGGTCGGTAACGAGAGAGGCAAGGACCCGAGGAACGAGAGGACGAGCGGCACGAAGGTAGTCGGACAGCGGGGGGGGCGCAACAACAAGGGAGGACGGAGGAGGCGACGGGAGAAGGGGAGGACGAGACGCGTGGGAACGAAGCAACATAGGGTGGGAGCGCAAGACAGGCGAGGCAGGACGAGCACGGGAGGGGCGGTGAGACCAGACGTGCGACGGAGGAGTCGGGTCAGGAGACAGAGGAGGGGACACAGGAGGGGAACGAGGGGGGAGACGAGCCGGGGACGAGTCCGGCGGGGGGAAAACAGGGCCGTAGACAGGAAGAGGAGGAGACGGTCGGGGAGGAACCGACGCAGGGTCGGGGGACGGAAGGCCGAGCAGGCGAAGGGCGGACACCGGCGGGGACCGCTGCTGCGGCGGCACAACGGTGACACCTGGACCGCAAGCTGCTCCTCGGCGACCACCGGCACTCTCCACACCAGCACCCCCAGAGGGACCACCCCCAGGGCGACCGGGACGAGCACCCCCAGAGTCAGCAAACAGGGGCTGCGACGGCGGCGGCGGAGGCACGGACGTGAGCAAGGCAGCCCCAGACGTGGAACGCAGACGCGTCACCAGGGGACCCAGTCCAAAGACGGGTCGGCGAAACCTGCGGCTGCTGAGGGTGCGGCCACAAGTTAAGCTGGTGAGAAGCGTAGCGCACAGCGAACGGCCACAGAAAATGGGGTGCACCGGCATGGATCATGGAGGTGCGAGCCACCTCCATGACCAAACCGATGCGTCGCTCAGCGACCCCATTGTGTTGTGGGGGGTCCGGTAGGGTGAACGTCTGGGTGATGCCCTCCGCACGACAAAAGCGACCAAGGACACCGGAGGCAAACTCGCCACCACGGTCTGAGTGAAGACGCAAGACAGGGAGACCGCGGTGGACACGCGCAGAGACAAGCCAGGGGATTAGAGCGCCAGGCACGTCGGCCTTGCGCTCCAGGGGAAACATTGTGGTGTAACGAGTGAAGTCGTCGACAAGCACAAGGAAGTAGCGCTCTCGACGCGGCCCAGGGACGGGGGCGGGGCCCCAGACGTCCAGGTGCAGGGTCTGCAGCGGCGCGGCGGTAGGGGGAAACGAGGAGGAGTGAGGGGCACGGCGAAGCCGGCCCTCGACACAAGGCGTGCAAGGTGGGGCTGGAGAGGAGGGAAACGCGGGGAGCGAACCTGGGAGACCAAGGACGAGACCGTGCTGAGACATGTGACGCAGACGCGGGAGCGCAGGGTGACCTAGGCGGTGGTGCCACAGGAGGGTCGGGTGAGTGAGGGAGCGACAGGAGCAGGCAGCAGCAACCTGGGTAGACGCAGCCACCTGAGGGGGCGCTCCAGCCGGGGGGGTCACGGTGTCCAGAGTGAACAGGCCGGACACCGGGTCCCGGGGGAACGTGGACAGGGGGGCACCAGTGGCGGCCTCGGTACAGACAGCATACCGCTCGTGACCAGGGAACGTAGTGGTGACGCCAAGGTCCTGCAGGCAGCCGACACCAACTAGGTTCCTGGAGAACGAGGGGATATGCAGACCTGTGAGAGTGCCTGAAGGAACCGCCGGACAGGGAAGGGTGGTGGAACTGCGGGCGACTACCGGACCGCCGGAGGGGTCAGCAAGAGAGACGGCAGCTGGGACAGGAAGCGGCGTCAGGGTGGTGGAGTCGCGGAAGAAACACCGAGATGCGCCAGAGTCCAAGGTGAAGGAAAGCGAAGCCGAGGGGTCTGGCGACGGAACGACGGCGGAAGCACCAAGACTACACAAAGCAGGGGATCCTACGCCTGACGCAGCAGGGGAGGCTAAGCTAGGCACACCTACACTAGGCAACAGTGAGTAATAAGCGGGAAGCACACTAGAGTCATCAGCATACATCACATGCAGAGCAGAAACAATGGCATCCATGTCCATATCAAAAATCTGAATCTGACGACTAAGCAAACTGTGCCAGTCCGGGAGGTTTGGCGACGGGCCGAAGCGCTGACGAAAGAGGTCGTCCAGGCGACGAAAACAGCGGGGAGTGGAGTGACCGAGCTTACCGCAAACGAAGCCGCGGCGAGGACCGGTCTGGATCTGGTACTGACAACGCCCGCCGCCAGAGCCACCACGCGGCACACCACCACGCGCCCGGCCACCACTAGCGCCGGGCCACCCTGGCGGGAGGACACTCGTCTGCCGCGTCTGCGACGGCTGCTGCGGCTGCTGCGAAGGCTGCGACTGCGGCGGCTGCTGCGGCTGCTGCACCTGTAGGGGCGGCGACTCAGCTGAACTGGGCAGGGTCCCCTCGTCCACTCCAGCACCAGGCGACCCGACCCCACCACTACCCCCGCCCGCACCCCCGCCGCCTCCTCCGCCACGCCCAGCCTTGGGGCGGCGGCCCTTTCCCGAACGTACCTGCCCTGCAGCAGCAGTCTCAGCCACTGCGGCAGAGCCGTCGGAGAAGGTGCACTGGGCGGGGGCACAACCCTGAAAGATAGGGACCGGCACGACACCGCTCGCCTGGGCAATGGAGCGGTGACGGGTCTCTATCACAGTCAGGGTGTCTACAAAGTCAGTGAGGGTGAGGTCTGCGGGGTGAACGCTAAGAAAGCGGTCGCGGGCGACAGCAAGGCGGTCAAGGAGGCGGGTGGCAAGCAGGTAGAGGGTAGAGGTAATGGGCGGCTGGTGGGCTCTAAGCTGTGCGTCAGTGCAGGCAGCGCGCCAGGTCTCATCTATCGAGCGCAGGTGGGCAGCGAGGTCAGAGACAGTGGGGAAAGATGCAAGGTCAGGAAACAGCATCGGAAGGATCAGGCGACCCACCGAGGCAGCCGGAGGGGTGGAATAGCGCTTGATCACAGCATCTAAGTATGCCTGAGCAGTAGTGAGGGACCTAAAGCGAGGACGCTCGGATGGGGGAAGGGCGTTGCTAATGGCAAGCTGGGCAACAGCATCGCGAGAAAGCCAGACAGAGCGCGCACGGGCAGTGGCAGCAGTAGCCTCACGCTCAGTGGGTGTGGGGTCAGCGGGCAGAATAGCAGGGGGGTCTGGGCAGGGGAGCGTACCGTCAAGGTGTGCGGAAAGCGGTTCACCATCCTGCCGCTGGCCAGTGAGTTGACGGCGGAGGTCGGCAAGCCACGCCTCGAACTCTAGGGGCTGACCTTCAGCATCGAAGCGAAGCTCCGCCGCCATCAGGAACAGTCCAGTGCAGTGCAGGGCAGTGCAGTGCGGTGCAGTGCGGTGCAGTGCGGTACAGTGCGGTGCAGTGCGGTGCAGTGTGGTACAGTGCGGTGCAGTGCTGAGCAGTGCGGTGTAGTGCGGTGTAGTGCGGTGCCAGGCAGTACAGTGTGGTGCGGGGCGGCACGGAGCAGGGCGGGGTGGGGGGGAACCGTACCAGTGAGGAGGACGGGGCCGGGGCTGGCCCGACGGGGCCGGGCGGGCGCGACGGGGCCGGGCTGGTGCGACAGGGCCGGGACGGGGCGACGAGGCCGAGCGGGCGCGACGGGGCCGGGCTTGGGCGACGGGGCCGGGCGAGTGCGGCAGGGCCGGGCCGGTGCGACGGGGCCGGGCGAGCGGGACGGCGGCCGGGCGGGTGCGACGGGGCCGGGCGGCTGCGACGGGGCCGGGCAGGGTGGGACGGGGCCGGGCGGGGGCGACGGGGCCGGACGGCTGCGACGGGGCCAGGCAAGGGCGACGGGGCCAGGCGGCTGCGACTTGGCCGGGCGGGCGCGACGGGGCCAGGCGGCTGCGACGGGGCCGGGCGGGCGCGACGGCGCCGGGCGGGCGCGACAGGGCCGGGCGGCTGCGACGGCGCCGGGCGGGCGCGACGGGGCCTGGCGGCTGCGACGGGGTCGGGCAGGGTGCGACGGGGCCCAGGAGGGGCGCGAGGGGGCCTGGGAGGAGCGCGACGGGGCCTGGGAGGGGCGCGACGAGGCCCAGGAGGGGCGCTACGGGGCCCAGGAGGGGCGCGACGGGGCGCTACGGGGCCTGGGAGGAGCGCGACGGGGCCCAGGAGGGGCGCTAGGGGGCCTGGGAGGAGCGCGACGGGGCCTGGGAGGGGCGCGACGGGGCCTGGGAGGGGCGTTACAGGGCCCAGGAGGGGCGCTACGAAGCCCAGGAGGGGCGCGACGAGGCCCAGGAGGGGCGCTACGGGGCCCAGGAGGGGCGCGACGGGGCGCTACGGGGCCTGGGAGGAGCGCGACGGGGCCCAGGAGGGGCGCTAGGGGGCCTGGGAGGAGCGCGACGGGGCCTGGGAGGGGCGCTAGGGGGCATGAGCGGAAGCGGTAGGTGGGGGGGGGATCCTACCTACACGTGATACCATATCAGAATTGGAATTAAATTGATTGGTAAAGTGAGAGTACACACAAATATACCCAAGTGTTGTACCCTCTAAGAGGTAACCCTATACAGTCTATACAAACATGACAAATACAGATGTTTGACAGTAGTGCCACCCTGAGCTGCTTGTCTCTCAACAAACACTGCCCCTATCTAGTCTAGGGGGTGTGTCAACACATTTGTGTGTGATATTATAGACCATAGAGGGTTGTGTCTTAGAGAGTACAGCCCCCTAGATCATAATGCCTTGTATTCTCGCATTCTAGTCATTCTTTCAGTTTGTTAGGTACTTGCTCCTATATGAGCCTCAGCAACCCCGCCGGATCACGCAGTACTCTTGGCCTCAGGTCCGGTGCCTTCACAGCTGATATCTTTACTAAAGCGCTTGCACGCCAAATCATTAGCGGCACTGTTTGCAACTTGGTCTAGTTCCTGTGGACTCACTTGCTAGGACCTTGATTGTGTACTCCTCTTTACATATATCGCTCAGCATGTCCACTACACACCTTGCCGGTACATTATGGCAGGCTTTTGTTGCATGTTCAATCAGACTACCAATACATACAATCAGCCTAAGTTTCAGCTCCACAGCGAAAGTCAGTATTGGACTGATCCTGACTCAGACATTAGGCCACAGAAATGCCACTCAGGAGAAAAAAATGGGCGGAATTTAGACGCAAGTTCCTGAAGTGAGCCATGCCGAAAAGTTACCTGGAGCCAACAGATATGACATTCAGAGAAGTCAAATCATTGCACAAGTCATACAGATACATTAAAGCTGAACTCCCATCTTCCCAGCAACCGCAGATGTCTCACACAAACCCAGCATAGCTCCGTCTCCAACGAAGTCCCCACGGCCCAGACCCATTGACCCAGAGACGTCAAAGCAGACAGGCACAAGAGCTAACCTCGCATGGCGGCAGGAAAGTCTCCCGCACGAGCGCGCACATGGTTCAAGCAGCAGTCTTGGCGGCGGCGCGCGCCTTGCGCATTTCGTCGACGATGGAGAGCTTGATTCCGCGGCCCTTGGGCAGCGAGACCCAGGGCTTGGCGCCCTGCCCCACCAGGAAGACGTTGGTGAGGCGCGTGGCGAACTGGTGGCCCGCCGCGTCCTTCACGTGGCAGATGTCAAAGCTGCCCTTGTGCCGCTCCCGGTGCTCCATCACGCCCACGCGCCCCCTGTTGCGCCCGCCTGCCACCCACCAACGCCAAGGAGAGGGAAAGAGGACGTAGGAACGATGAGGGCAACGAGAGAGAAGGGCAGAGGCAGGTAGGTGCATGGGCACTAACGGGGAGTCACGAACTTAGCATAAACAGTGGTCCAACCGCTGTAGTCGCCGCCCACCAGCGACCATCCCCCTGTGCTCAGCAGTGACCATGCAGATCGCACCTCCCCACTTGGCTCACTGGTGAGCATGCAGATGTTACCTCCCCTTGCGCTCACTGGTGACCATGCAGATGTTCCCTCCCCCTTGGCTCACCGGTGACCATGCAGATGTTGCCGATGTCGAAGCGGATGTGCTCGACGACCTTGCCGGTTTCCAGGTCGATCTTAACCGTGTCGTTCACCTTGATCACCGGGTCGGGGTACCGGATCGTGCGCCCGTCGTTCGTCACGATGTACGGGATGCCGCGGTCGCCCACGCGCTGCGCGCGCACGCGGCACAACTTGTACTGCACGTGCGGGCGGGGAGGGGGAAGGGCGGCAGGGCGGAGGGGGAGAAGGGAAAACGGGAGGTGGGACGAGGCAGGGATGGGAAGAGAGGTGAGGGCAGGGAAACAACGGACATCGGGGCTGGCAATGGCGGCAAAGCGCAGCGTGTAAACGAGGAAACGGGCACGCGGGCTGTACCCTGAACGTGGTACAGCAGAGCTTCTCTACGCTACTCTCCCTCAGTCATGCCCTCCACGTCGTACCCTCATCGCCTCTCTGCCACAACCCCACAACAACCTCCTTCACAGTGAGCAGCCGACCCCTCAAATCCACAACAGAAACGTAACTCTCCGGCCTTCTGTACGACAGCGGACAGCCTGACCAGCGGACAGCCTGTGTACGACCGGCCCAAGACTGCGGCAACGCCCCCTGCCCCCCAGACTCACTTCAACGGGCTCGAATATTACCTTGTTACGCACTGGCCCACGTGCCGCGCCTATAAACTCCCGTTGATCCTTTCGCAAACCCTAGCCCTGACACCACCCGCGCCGAGCCCCTGCCCCAACATGTCTGCCGTGTCCAGTCTCCCAGCTCATCCATCTCCCGCCCCTCCGTTCTAGCAGCTGGATGGGTGGGTGGGAGGCGGGTGCGCGCGGGGGAGACGTTACCTTGGCCTCGTCGGGCGTGATGCGGTGCAGCGTGAAGCGGCCCTTGGTGTCGTACAGCAGACGGAAGTTCTCGTCCGTCTTCGCGATCGATATCACGTCTGCCCAGCACGCAGGGTACAGGCAGGGACCCAGGAAGAGACGCAGGCAGGGGTACGAGCGCAGGTGCAGGCAAGGGTACAAGAACAACCAAAGGCACAAGCACAGACACGGGAACGAGAGGATGTGTGAGAGAGCGGAACGCGACGAATGGCATGCAGAAAAATGCGAATGGAAGGCGTGTGTAAGCCCGCAAATGCTGTGACCAGGTGACGTCGCAGAGCGACGTGACCCACGTGGGAGGTCAGTGGGACTTGATGAATGTGGAAAGCCAAAAAGACGTAAAATGCTGTGGTGAGTGTCGGAGGCCAATGGAGCAGGCAGAGCCACGGGACGCACGCCAGCAAGGGCGGCGGGCTCTGCTGCAACGTAACCTCTCAGTCCATGTGCCAGGAATGTAACGGGCGTTGCACTGCCGGCACCCACACGCCCACCATGCCGGCTGCCGTTACAGCAGCCGGCTAGCAGTCGAACAGGTGAAGGTGCGCGCCCTGACTAGTCCTGGACGCTTCTGCACATCATCCCTCTCCCTCGTCGCTCCTCATACCGGAACACAACAGTCGCGCTTCACTTCAGCTATAGGCTCCGCCTGTGCCCTCGAAGCAAAACCTCGGCCGCTGATAGTACCGGCGGCATGCACCCATGAACCGGCAGCAGCAGCAGCAGCAGCAGCAGCAGCGGGACGTACCCATGAATCCGGCGGGGAAGGTTTTGTCGGTGCGGATCTTGGCGTCGACGGCGATGAGGCGCTGCATGACGATGGCGTTCACCTCGCGGTACGTCAGCGCGTACTTGAGCCGGTTGCGCAGAATCACCGCCAGCGGCAGGCACTCGCGCTCCTTGTGCGGCCCGGGGGACGGCTTCGGGGCCTGCATCATCCCCACGCACGCGGGGGAGGATGTGGGGGAGGGGGAGAAGCAGGGGGAGAGGAAACGGAGGGGAATTAGCGCGTGCAATGTTAGGGCAAAGTGAGATGGAGAGTGGTGATAGCAACCTTGGGAATGCCGAGAGGGTGAGGGCACGGGCGGCAACGGCGAACCGGGATCGGAAAAAGAGGGCGGGTGGGTAGATTCGTACTGCGGGAAAGAAATGGGCGACGGGGCAAGGATCTTACGAAGGCTCCCCCGAGCTTGTCGAGCATCCAGTGCCGCGGGGCATTGAGCCTCTTCAAGTGTTTCTTCAATCCTCGTGCCTGCAGCACACGCGCAAAGACTGTGAGATGATGTGCGGGGGCAGCACGGATGGAGAAAATAAGCTACGTAGACGCACCATGGTTGTGGAAAAGGGGATGCCGAGATTGCGGTAGCAGAGGAAAAAGGGGCAGGGGAAGGCTGTGTGGAGCACGCTGGGCGATCGCAGGGGCAGGGTGGGTGCAGGTGGACGTGGTGGTTCACCACCCCGGGGGAAGGGAAACCCTACCAGGTGTTGGATGTGTGGAATTGCACATGTTCTCGTAATGTTACACCTCCCGAAGCCACTTCTTGCAAAAATACTAATGTAAGGAATTTCCATTCCTCACTGAGTCGTACGCAAGCGCGTACACCCGAACTCCTCGACTCGTCACGTTCGGCCTCATTTATCAGCCCAACCCTTCCCGAAGGCGCGTCCAGCATTGTCGCCACATTGCCGAACCTACCCACGTTCCGAGGTTATCGCCCTGGTACGCCAACCCCTATATAACCTCGTGCCTTTCATTGCAATGTTGACCTTGTATTCCCACATTATAGTACATTGATACTTCCTATATCATAACAACTAACTTCAGTTGAAACCATTATTTGAAGTTGGTGGTGTCTTAGAATATCATAGTAAATGGCTTCCGGGAAAGCAGACCCAATGCATTGATGGAATATGGTTCGTCACAAAACGTCTTCCTGGTTATTATTACATTACGCCTAGGGCGTTACAAAGAATTGCACAAATCCCGATACACCGTATACTACCACTCTGGTAAAGGCACGGCTCGAAATCCCAGCAAATGTGGAAATTTTAAAATAGAGACTTAAAGCGAGAATGGAGAATAGTGAAGGCGGGCCCAACTTGAAAGGGGGGTTGTATGGGATTTTCCCAAAGGGACCAACTCCCGTAGCGAGGGGGTTAAGAGTCACTGTTCCTTATTACCCCCGGGTAGGAGGGAAAACTGCCGCGCAGGACAGCGATTGGTGCGTGGGAACGACCAACTCCTGCATCCAACCAGAAACAAGGCAAAGGAATTCACATAGGAATACGCAGCAGCGAAAGCATCGCACGAGCCAACGAGCATTCAACTGCGATGGTAGGGCTGCCCGCACGGTTGTGCCTGTTTCAACTGGTTCCATCTCGAATTTCAAGTTGGACCTAGGTTCACAACTAGAGCCCGAAGAACTCAAGGCAGTTCACACTAGGCAGAACGCCCTAGCGTAGAATGCGCAGCATTCCCCGCTTATCGTAACTCGTAGCAGCAGCTCGCGCAGATTGTGACGCGGGCCGACTCCCCATCCCCGAGCCAGCCCTACTGTAAGTAGGCAAACAGCATATGGAGTATCCTGCCATAATGCTGGCGTAAAACACCGCCTTTAGGGCCGTACCCCGAGCCCGCAGCTAACGACGTACGATCGACGGCGACTCGATTTCGTACGGTGGCTACCGGGCACGCCAGCCATACCGGGCACGCCGGCTAGGGCGTGCAGGCCAGCACGGAGCTCGTTTTCACGAGCAGGCAAACGCCGAGCTGGACGCCACGAGGTGTCCGATGGCAAACGCCGGGCACGGCGTCGAGCAGCTTAGCGCCGAGCGCGGCGACGAGTAGCTTAGAAGCGAGCGCGGAGGCGAGCAGCTTAGCGCCAAACGCAGCGGCGAGCAGCTGAGCGCCGAGTGCTTCAGCAAGCCGCTCAGCGCCGAGCGCGGCGGCGAACCGCTCAGTGCCGAACGTGGCGGCGAGCAGCTTAGTTTACCGCCGAGCACGGCGACGAGCAGTTTATTGCCGAGCGCGGCGGCAAGCAGCTTAGCGTCGAGCGTGGCGGCGAGCAGCTCAGCATCGAGCGCGGCGGCGAGCAGCTCAGCGCCGAGCGCAGCAGCGAGCAGCTCAGCGCCGAGCGCGGTGGCGAGCAGCTCTGCGTGCGCGGCGGCGAGCCGCTCAGTGCCGTGAGAAGGGGAGAGGCAGAGAAGGGAAACGGGATAGAAGGGGATTGGGAAAAGGGGGGTGTGGGAGAGAAGGGGAGCGAGGGAGAAGGGGAGCGAGGGAGAAGGGGATCGAGGGAGAAGGGGAGCGAGGGAGAAGGGGAGCGAGGGAGAAGGGGAGTGAGGGAGAAGGGGAGTGAGGGAGAAGGGGAGTGAGGGAGAAGGGGAGTGAGGGAGAAGGGGAGTGAGGGAGAAGGGGAGTGAGGGAGAAGGGGAGCGGTGAGAGAAGGGGAGCGGTGAGAGAAGGGGATTGAGGGAGAAAGGGAGCGAGGGAGAAGGGGAGCAGGGAGAAGGGGAGCGAGGGAGAAGGGGAGCGAGGGAGAAGGGGGGCGAGGGAGAAGGGGAGCGAGGGAGAAGGGGAGTGAGGGAGAAGGGGAGTGAGGGAGAAGGGGAGTGAGGGAGAAGGGGAGCGGTGAGAGAAGGGGAGCGATGAGAGAAGGGGATTGAGGGAGAAAGGGAGCGAGGGAGAAGGGGAGCAGGGAGAAGGGGAGCGAGGGAGAAGGGGAGCGAGGGAGAAGGGGAGCAAGGGAGAAGGGGAGCGAGGGAGAAGGGGAGCGAGGGAGAAGGGGAGCAGGAGAGAAGGGTAGTGGTGAGAGAACGGGAGCTAGGGAAAAGGGGGGCAAGGGAGAAAGGGAGCGAGGGAGAAGGGGAGCGAGGGAGAAGGGGAGCAAGGGAGAAGGATAGCGAGGGAGAAGGGGAGCAGGAGAGAAGGTGGGCGAAAGAGACGGAGGGTGGGAAAGAAGGAGGGCGGGGCGAGGTAGAGAGGGAGAGCAGGAGGGCAGGAGAGAAGGAGAGCGGGAAAGAAGGAGGGCGGGGGAGAAGGAGGGCGGGGGAAAAGGAGGGCGGGGGAAAAGGAGGGCGGGGGAGAAGGAGGGCGGGGGAAAAGGAGGGCGGGAGTGAAGGAGGGGGGAGAGAAGGAGAGCAGGAGAGAAGGTCCCCCCCACCCCTCCCTCTCCCTAGCCCCCTCTGCCCTCATCAGAGTCCAGCCCCCCTCTTTCCCCCCTCCTTTCCACCTCTTCCCCAGGCAGAGGCGCAATCCCCTTTGCCCCCTCTGCCCAATGGCAGACGTCTGCCTTCCTCTCACCCACTCTCCCTCTCCTCTCCCCTAAGATATCCCCACCTCTTACCATCTCCCCTCCTCTCCCTGCTTCCCTCACCTCGGTGGGGCTGTCCCTCCTCCCCATTAATCCTGTCTAGCCTTTCTCCCCTTGCGGCTCCCTTTTGCCGTCCATGTGCTCGTTCTCTCCCCTCCCTCTTTCCATACTTACACTTGTTCCTTTCCTCTACTATAGACCGTGTCTTGTGTTTCTGCCCCCCTCACGCTCCTGTTGCCCATTCCCTTGCTCGCAACCCCCCCCCTCACCTCTTCCCTCATATCCCTGAGTCTCTCCTCTCACGGAGTGTCCCGCTTCCCGTTCAAACCCCCACCCGCCTCATCCCTCCTCTCCCTTTTTCCCCCTCTTCTCTGTTCCTTTTTTTTCCGTCCGCACGACCAACCCTTCATTCCAGCTCTCCCTACTGCCTCTTCCATGCCTTCTCCCCTCCAATCCCTTATTCCAGGTGCACCTTCCCCCCCCCTTCCTTCTACCCCCCTCTCTCTTCTTCAACCCTCTCCCTTGTTCCAGGTTCTGTGACGTTGGTGTCTCGTGTCTTACAGTCAAATAAAACCCCAGTGGTCACGACCCAAGCATGCTGCCAATTTCGTAATCCAAGCCTGCATTCCGTGCACATTATATATTCATTTGTACAATGACTACAACGCATGTGGAAGTGTCGTCATTGAATACAATTGGGGATCTTAGGATGCTAATTTCCAGAACTCTGTTTGATGGCTTGGGCACTGTGGACTGGGGACAATTCTATGATCTAATATCACACATTAGAGGCCACATCAGACTAGACTCCTATGTTCGTGTAGATAGCAAATGGGTATACTTTGTTAAAATTATATAAGTTATAATTTAATATAGGCTTGGTAGGTTGTTACTGAACCTTTCTGTAGGGGGTACAAACCCCTCCTTGTACTCCCCTCTCTTCCTAATCGCATCCCTTCTTTCTCGTCACTTTTGCCTACCCCTAGATAAACTTCTCCTCACGATATTCCATGGCGTCACTTCTAGTATCCTAGCCTACCTAGCCTCCTAAGTTTAAGAGGCTCGTGTCCTAAGTTTCTAAGATGGTATCAGAGCCGGTCGTGTCCACTGGACCCTCTCCCTACGTACCCGTTGCGTACTCCTGCTGCATTCGCAGCCTTCGCGGTTTTCTGCCTGCCTGCCGTCGCGACGCCAGGATGTCGCGTCGGCCCCTTGTTACCTGCCGTCGCGGCACCAAGGTGTCGCGACGGCCCCTGGTTGCCCGCCGTCGCGGCACCAAGGTGTCGCGACGGCCCCTCGTTGCCTGCCGTCGCGGCGCCAAGGTGTCGCGACGGCCCCTTGGTGCAGCCGTCGCCCGTCCGCCTCACCGCTGCGACATTGACGGTGCGCTGCGGCGGCGTCTACGGCAGCCGACGGCATCGTCGGGCTGCGGCCGGCCGAGCGACATCTGTGGCGTCGCCGGGCCTGCCGCCCGCTCGCCAGCCACGGGCGTCCCTCAGGACGACGTCCTCCCCGCCAGTAAGCGCCGCGCCATTTATGGCGCGTCGCTGAAGACTCGCCCCGCCCCCCCCCCCCCCATTCTCCCTTCCCCCTGCGTCTTCCCCTCCTCCTGTCGCAGCTGCTGTCTTCTGCCCGGACGTTGCCACATCACCGAGAGCCCTCAGCCGCGGCGGTCGCCGCCTGTTGTCGGCGACCCAGCCGCCTTGAGCCAGAGCTCCGCCGCTGCTTGTCGCTGACCCGCCCAGACGCCGTAGGCTGCCTCGTGTACGGGGGTGTGTCAACGCTTTGCACGAGGGTCAGATACCCGGCTAAGCACGAGCTTGAGGGTGTGCGGGGTTAGGGGGTGGGTTGGGTGGGTGTGCGACTACCAAGCCTAGGGGGTGTGTTAAAATTATATAAGTTATAATTTAATATAGGCTTGGTAGGTTGTTACTGAACCTTTCTGTAGGGGGTACAAACCCCTCCTTGTACTCCCCTCTCTTCCTAATCGCATCCCTTCTTTCTCGTCACTTTTGCCTACCCCTAGATAAACTTCTCCTCACGATATTCCATGGCGTCACTTCTACACTGAGGGAAAAAACCGTCCGGATGTTTGGCACTAAGTTGGGTTTTTAGGCTTTGAGACTACTGTATGGTAAACCTGCAAGATGCACGGTGGTACATGTTGGGAGAGGCACAAAGTGGATGCGTTCACTGCACTGAGAACTAGATTAGTACATTGGATCTAACTCATACTCCAAAAGATATACAACGAGTACATCCGGACAGTTTTTTCCCAGGACAAAGAGCAAACTTCCGAACAACGTTTCTAGTACCTAGTCCACCTACTCTTGGCGTTGATCACCATCCACACCCTCCTAGGCATGTTATCTATGTGGTTAGTGCAGACCTTTGCATGAAGCTTCTCGCACTCTTCCTTGACCCACCATTTTGCATAAGGGGGTGAGCACAAGGAAAATTGCGAAGTATTTGAGCGTATGCATAAGTATTGTGCACGAATTCAGATTGAATGTAATCTCTGAGACTAGCCAAGCCGAGGGGTGTCCAAAGATGCCATTAGTTAAATGGTCCCGGCTTATCATGGGTCGTCTTCGTCGTATCGTTCTAGGGTAAAATCACGAATAGAGTGGCAAAATCTAGCATTCCCGCCACGAATCTTAGGGTAACAGAGCACGGTCGACTGAACATCCTTTCACTGTGTGAACCATGTTAAAATACGCGGGTCTAGTGACGGGGCAGCAGTCGAAGAAACCTCGACTGTTTGGGAAGAATATCTGGATTGAGGTCTGGTGAGAAAAAGGGTCACTCCAGCGCAACATACTTATGCTCTCCAAGGCATTCCATGTCATTTTCCCTGCCTAGGCTTGGAATGGCTCGGAGAGCATGGATATGTAGCTCTGGAGTGCCCCTCTTCCTCACCAGACCTCAACCCTGATATTCTTCCCAAACAGTCGAGACTTCTTCAACTGATGCACTGTCACTAGACTCGCGGATTTTAACATGATTCTAACAATGAAAGGATGCTCAATCGACCGTGCTCTGTTACCCTAAGTTTCGTGGCGGGTATGCTAGATTTTGCCACTCTATACGTGATTTCACCCTACTCTGATTCGACGAAAACAACCCATGATAAGCCAAGACCATTCAACTAATGGCATCTTTGGACACCCTTCGGCTTGGCTAGTCTCAGAGATTACATTCAATCTGAATTCGTGCACAATACTTATGCATACGCTCAAATACTTCGCAATTTTCCTTGTGCTCACCCCCGTATGCAAAATGGTGGGTCAAGGAAGAGTGCGAGAAGCTTCATGCAAAGGTCTGCACTAACCACATAGATAACATGCCTAGGAGGGTGTGGATGGTGATCAACGCCAAGAGTAGGTGGACTAGGTACTAGAAACGTTGTTAGGAAGTTTGCTCTTTGTCCTGGGAAAAAACTGTCCGGATGTACTCGTTGTATATCTTTTGGAGTATGAGTTAGATCCAATGTACTAATCTAGTTCTCAGTGCAGTGAACGCATCCACTTTGTGCCTCTCCCAACGTGTACCACCGTGCATCTTGCAGGTTTACCATACAGTAGTCTCAAAGCCTAAAAACCCAACTTAGTGCCAAACATCCGGACGGTTTTTTCCCTCAGTGTAGTATCCTAGCCTACCTAGCCTCCTAAGTTTAAGAGGCTCGTGTCCTAAGTTTCTAAGATACTCTACTCACAACAGCACAACCTGACACTGCGTGGCAGAGACATTCTCTTTGCCGACCATCCCTGTGTCCTAAGCCCACTGCTCCCCATTTCGACACCCTCCGCCCTCGATCATCAAGCGGATCTTCCTCCCCTTTTGTCACCCCCTCTCATCACCTTTCGTGAGACCCCACCCTGAACCTACCCTTTCTCCTCCCTTTCCTCACCCATTCCTCCCCTCCGCTCTGCCCTCAGCTCCTCCCTTGGACCTGGCGCTATGCTACAGAGCTGGGCCGGGGCAGGGTTGGTTCAAGGATGAGGGGGAAAAGGAGGAGTGAGAGGGGGAAAAGGGTGCTGCAAGAGAGTAATGAGCCCTTACGTCCTTTGGCCCAGCACAGGGTGCACGAAGGGGGGAACCGGCCATACTCCGCTTGTACTTCACCCAGCCTTACCCCAGCCATACTCAAGTCATACTCCGGTCGTGCTCGACTCATATTCCACTCATACTTCCCACATCAGTCCCCGCACACGAATGGCAACCCCACTCCATCTCAACTCACTCGGGTACCCAAGTACCCAGGTGGCCAAGTACTCAGGTACCCAAGTACCCAGGTGCCCAAGTATTCAGGTACCCAAGTACTTAGGTATCCAAGTACCCAGGCACCCAGGAGAGGGGTTACGTGGCTGCGGCAGAGGCGGCGAACTTCAAAGTGCCTTTTCTCCTTTCCTGAGCTCACAAACCTTTACTATCACCCACCCTCATTGTATTCCACACACCCTATCTCCCACCCCCTCTCTTTCACCATCCCCCTCTCCTATCTCAAACCCTCCCTACATCCCACCCTTCCTCTCTTCCTAATTTCCTCCCTCGCGCCCCCCCTCTCCCCCGCCTTCACCAAATCTCACCCTCCCAATCTCCAGCCACCCACCTTGCCAGCAGCCACGCTATCCAACACATGCCTCTCTCCCGCCCCCTTCTATCCTGATCCCCGTCTCTCCCCCCACCCCCCTCTATCCTGATCCCCGTCTCTCCCCCCACCCCCCTCTATCCTGATCCCCGTCTCTCCCCCCACCCCCCCTCTATCCTGATCCCCGTCTCTCCCCCCACCCCCCTCTATCCTGATCCCCTCCACTCCCGATCCAACCCTCTCACGCTCCTATCTTCTCCCGCACCCCTTCTCTCCCGCTTCCTTCTCTCCCGCTCTCCTTCTCTGCCACTCCTCTTCTCTCCCTCTCCTATTTCCTTCCCTTCTCTCCTTCTCTCTTGCTCCCCTTCTCCCCCGCTCCCATTTCCTCCCCCCCGCCTTCACTCCCGCTCCTTTTTTCTCTTGCTCTCCCTCACTCTCGTCTCCCCATAAACCCAATGTCCTCCTCTCCCCCCCTCCGTCTTACTGGCTCTACATTGTTCGCGCCAACCTCACTCCGGCTCCGACAGGTAGCGGCCCCGCCCGGGCGTTCCCAGCTATGAGCTATTGCGCAGACATCATAGAGCAGCTCGTCATGGCACCTTCCATTCGCGACAAGCGCCAACCATGCGTCGCCTCCCTTGCTTGCCATCGAGCTAGGCACAGGGCTGTTTGCCGTCAAGCGCGCATGCCTGTTCGCCGTCGAGCTAGGCGCATGGCTGTTCGCCGTGGAGCTAGGCGCAGGGCTCTTCGCCGTGGAGCTAGGCGCAGGGCTGTTCGCCGTCGAGCTAGGCGCAGGGCTGTTCCCCGTTGAGCTAGGCGCAGGGCTGTTCGCCGTCGAGCTAGGCGCGGGGCTGCTCGCCATCGAGCTAGGCGCGGGATTGCTCGCCATCGCACTAGGCGCTAAGCTGTTGTTGGTCGTGCTAGGCGCTGGGCTGCTCGTCAAGCACTCTCAGCGAGTGTATCCCCTAGTGTCACGAGCTCCATGTGCACGCTCTGGACTCCTGTTGTATTTCAGATAAGTAGTTTGCTAGCATCGAGCAATATCTGAGCGGGAAGAATGAGTTCCCTGCGTTTGGGCTTTGCTCTAGCCCATCACGCCCCCACTTTTTTTTGGAGGTGGGATTTGTACGCGTGCCCCTGATTGGCTCTCGTTTTGCATATCCATCACAACACAACGGAGGCTGACCGCGTCAGCAATGACATAATTGTTATAAATTATAACTCAGAGTAAAGCGCAGAATACTATAGGGGAAAGTGAGTACAATGATGTCCAGAATAATGAGGCATAGGCAAAATAT